CCTGGCACCAACACGCACCGCTGATTTGCTGTGTTGCCTCTGGCTTCAAATCAAACATTCCTGATGTACAGTCTCTCTGGCCATTGTTTTCCTCCACTAATGATCTCACTTGCCTTCCCTTCCCGCAGTTGCTGCTATTGTTGACACCACACGCCACCACGCGCCAACCAATGTGTGCCTTGCTCTAGCAGTCTTTTTCCTATAATTATCGGTGTATGTTTGGATCGTAGGTTGGCAGCAGAGTGACGGAAATGACCCAAGTTGATCTTGCCTCCAATGCGAGTAGTTCGACGTGGCCCCAGCCGCGTTCCCGCCGTGAGTCTCGCTCGCCGTGGATATCGTTCCTTCCGAACCAGCCGACGTCGCCGGGAACGAGATTCACGGCGGAGCTCCTAAGATTATTGGTATCACTACCGCTATGGTGTCACCAATAATTGTCATAGCACACCCCTCGGACCGCACAGCAGAATGACGGACACAACTGAATCCGAGCTTGCCTCCGATGCGATCTGAGCCGCAGTGCGGCTTGGCCCTGGCGGCGTTCAAAAGGGACGGTCCCGCCGTGAGTTTGCCACACTCGTAACTCATTCATTCCTTTCAACCAACCAAACCTGAACGATGGAGTATGCGCGTTTCCTTTCGACTACATTGGCATGGGCGATACTAGTCGTGCTGATGGCTCTCAGTCTGACACCTTCGTCAGCCGCATTCAACTTCGCAAGCTCCGAGGCCGGAAAAGTGCAGTGGTCGCTCGACTGTGACTGGGTCGGCAACGACATCGGCCGAGCCGCCGGCAAGGGCGAGACGTGCGGACAGCAGTGCCTGAGCCGCGCGGATTGCACGCATTGGACGTGGAGCGCCTTCAACGGCGGCACGTGCTGGCTCAAGGGGGCCATCAACGCGACTGAACTGGTCGCCGCCACTGGCACGTCGTGCGGTTACCGCGTCGGCGACAGCGCGACTGGCAACCCGTACACGGGAGTTCAGCCGTACCTCAACCCTGGGTATGTGGCGAGCGTGAAAGCCGCGGTGCGCGCCGCGCTTCCCTCGGATGCGCCGTTTTTCGCGAGCGTGGCGCAGTATGCGACGGCTGTGTGGCTCGACACGATGGCGTCCCTAGATTCCATCCCCGGCCACCTGAGCGACGCAGCGACTCAGGCGGGCGGCAAGGCGATTCTCGTGCAATTCGTGATCTACGATCTCCCGGGCCGCGACTGCAAGGCGTGGTCGTCCAATGGGGAGATTCCCAAGGGCGGCCTCGACACGTACAAGACCAAGTACATCGATGTTGCCGTGGCGCGCCTTAGAAACAAGGCGGCGAACGTGCGTCTGTCGCTCGTGATCGAGCCCGACTCGCTGCCCAACATCGCGACGAACATGGGCACGAATCGGTGCGACGCGACGACGGACAAGGAGTACACGGAGGGCGTCGCGTATGCCATCGCGGAGCTCTCGCAGATCCCCGACACCACGCTCTATCTCGACTCCGGCTTCGGCGGCTGGCTCGGTGAGTGCGTGTGCCGCGTGCGGTTCGTTCCGTTTCATGCCAATCCGTTCCGTTTCTTCCTCCCCTTTCAGCCATAGCCCTGCTTCCGCCTTTTCGCTTCGCTCTCTTCTCCCTCACCCCGCCCCTCACTCCTACGCCGCTCGCCTCCCAATGCATGAGCAGGGTGGCCGGAGGGAATGAAGCGCGTCGTGGCGGTGTACAAGAAGGTCCTCGCGCGCGCGCGGCAGATCCGCGCGAACGCCAAGATCCGCGGCTTCGCGTCCAACGTGGCCAACTACAGCCCGCTCTTCGCCTCCAGCTGCCCGGCGCTGGAGAAGTGCCCGCTCGTGAAGAACCCGAGCACGGGCGAGATGTGCTACGACTGGAACCCGTGCATCGACGAGAACCGGTTCACGGCGCGCATGAATGCGTACCTGGGAGCCGCTGGACTGCCCACCAGGTGGATCGTGGACACAAGTAGGTCCGGCCGCGCTGGCATTCGCAACCGGTGGGGGTCGTGGTGCAACGTGAAGGGCGCGGGGATCGGACAGCGCCCCGAGCCTAATCCCGCTAATGCTCCGCAAGGTGAGCACCCTTGCTTTTTCCTGCTGCTGCTGTTCTCTCCTCTTCTCTTCCTGGCGATCCTGTTTTGAAGTGGCGTTTCCCTTGGGTGGTCTCATGCGGCTCCCTCCCCTTCCCCGCACACCTTTTTCTTTCCTGCCCGGCAGTTGATGCTCTGGTTTGGATCAAGCCACCTGGGGAGAGCGATGGCCATTCGTAAGTACCTAATCCCTCCTATGCGCCTGTGGTGTGGTCGTACTAGTTTCCTAGTGCGCGTGTCCCTTCCTCTTTGCCAATGGGTCATTTCTCAATGAGCCAATGTTGAAACGGTTGGCTCTGCTTCTCGGTACACCTTCACTCATCTCCCGTCCTTCCTCCAACCTCTCATCTCCCCAGAACAAAGTTTCTGGGCATTTTCCCTGTGGATCACGAGTGCAACCCCGATGACGCGCTGGGCCTGGACGCCCTATCGAGCGCGCCCCGCGCAGGGCAGTGGTTCCAGACGCAATTCACCGCGCTTGTCCGCTACGCCAACCCGCCCATGCCTGCTGGAAAGGTGGACCCGCCCACGCCTGCCGACCCGTGCATGACCGACCCAAAAACGAACCCTGCGTGTGATCCGTTCTGGGAGGACTTGGCTGTCAAGTACTCCCCGCAGTACAAGTTCCACCCCGACGAGACCATCTGGCCAATCACGATCGACAAGTACCTTACGCATGTGTATGACTCCATGGGTTCGTATTTTGTGGGAGATACGGAGCATCAGGTTAAATACCAGGCGGGCCCGATCACTCCCGACAACCTTGATACATTGCTGGAGAATCCGAATCTGAAGTCCAGTCATGGATCTACTGTCCTGCGTATTCTGGGTGAAATCAGTCAGAATACGGCCTGGGTGAGGGACTCGAGGCGCAACCCGAAGAACGGAGGCACGAAGCTGTACACCGTCATTTACAATCCGAAACCCGACGACAAAGACTCGTTTGTGGAGATTCAGTATTGGCTCTTCTACCCTTACGTGAGCATTCCAATCCAAATAGTACCCTGGATTCAAGTACTTCCTTTTGTCTCCTCCCTCTCTCACTCCCCCACCCCCCAGTTTGCCCCAACCCCTCTGTGAAACGTTGTGAACCTGTTTCAAGCGTTCAAGATTTGCTTTATCCTTTGCATTTGCAGAACTTTGTCAACTCCCTTGCTGGGTATTACAACCACATCACGGACCTGGTGGCGATTGCAATCCGCTTCTCAAAGACCGGCCAGCCTCAGCGCATTTGGTACGCGCAGCACGGTGGCGGCCCCGTGTGGGCGTGGGACACGGGAGCTGACTGGGCCGACCCCAAGCCAAAGGAGTTTGCTACGGTGATGGGAACGCATCCCATTGTGTATGTCGCGGAAGGAACTCATGAGCATTACCATAAAGTCGGTGAGTAGCTCGTGGAACACCTCACCCACCGTTTTCTATGCCAAGGCTAATCCTCGTTGGTGCTCTGTTCGTCTCTTTCATTCACAGGTAGTAGTTTCCATTGCAACGTGGGCCATTGTGACGAGACTGCCAATGGAGGAGTCGTATGGACGCCCAAGGACAACCCAAAGTCCTTTGAGTTTGTTCACGTGAAGAGCGAGATATCCGCTTCCATGCCGAATGCAGACCGTGCGAAGCTATTCACGGGGAGGAACAAGTGGATGGCTTACAATGGGAAAGTTGGCGGATATTGTAAGTGTGGTCGCCCTAACCACGGTTTGTAGACACTGCTTCGGATGATGGGTGCTGACTTTGTTTGCGTTTGTTCGCAGATATGAGTTGGCTCTCCAACGGTAAAGAAGTTACGCGCCTTGAAACTGGAGTGAACGCGATATCTTTCCAGAAGTACCAGGGGCAGGTAAGCTTGTTTTGGCTACAGAACATTTTGTATTGTGTCATTCTTTGGCATGGAATGCAAATCGGCCTCTAATATTTCTTCTTGTTGCGCTAACAGTTCACTGCTGCGCTAGGGATTCTTAAGTAAGCAAGGGGCGAATCCCTGAGGGGTGCTTGCTGTGAGAAGAGGCAGCTTGGCACAAAGTGGAGGTGTGGCAAGGGGCAACCCCGACATGGGTTGAGTGGGGAGGGGACTGTCTTCTCTTCTGGCCCCTTGACCCTTGACACGGACCCAGTTCCACCACTAAGAGTTAGCTCTGAATAAAACGCGTCGTGCTCCTCATGTTGCACGTTGCCGAGTGTCCTTGCTTACTCCAGCTACCGCTACTTTCCCTGAAGTGGTGTTTGGTGTGGGTGGGGATGCCCATGAATGATCTATTTATTAAGCTACGGTATGTAACCAGGAGTGTACTGAATGACAGTTCACCATTGCCATGAACAAATACACAAACTCAAGGTTCACAGACGCACATCAAGCACTAACACCCATACCTGTCATCTCTACTTGACCCGAGTGTTGGGCTGAAAAAAGCCCTTAGGATCTTTGCAGGGGTGAACTCTGGGTAGAGTTGGTGTAGTAGCGGAAGCGTTAATAAAGAGTTGTGAACCACCTTGCGCTAGTATGTGAGGGCAAAGTAAGTAATTTAAAACAAAGAGATACAAGATTATATAAGAGTACAAGGAATATGAAAGGATACGATTATAACTGTTTTACTTGTTGCTGTTGCGGTTCGATACAGTGACGACTCGGGCAACTGCTCTGTAGCGAGTCAGTTGTCTGTCCTTGCTGTCGCGCTGTATTTGTCAGGTCAAATGTCGCTGACCTTTGACTTTCGCGTAACCTCCAGCAGTTACTTCAACCTCCGAGGGTTGACTCGCTGGTGCCTCGATATGCTTTGCTTCGCTTGTGCCTTCGTGTTTCGACACGACAGAGGCGCTTAGGACCGATTGTTTCCAACACCGAGTACCCAGCGAGCTGGCAATGAGCTGCCGGTTATCAGGGCTGCTCTGCACGCCAGGCTCTGACGTTGCTTCTCATTGCACCCACCCACCAACCGTTCTCTGCTGAGCGTAAGCAGGGGGGCGTGCCCGTGGCACAAGGCAGGTTGACACGACGTGGAATACTATCAGGCAAGCCGGAATGCTGATATGGTGACCGCCACGCTTCCAGACACGCGTCTTATTTGAGTTGGTGTTGCTGTTGCTGTAGTCATCTTCCTCCCATTGGCTGCCAAACAGCCCACTTGTTCCCCCCCTCCTTCCTGCCTCTCCACCACCACTGCCATCAGCAGCAGGAAGCAGGTCTGCTCTCTGCACGTGCATTCTCAAGTTCCCCAGTTGAACTGTCACTGACCGAGCCGCTGCTGCCGAACCTGAAACTTCTCCCCAGCCTTCTCCCGGACCACCACCCACTGCCATCACCGTACCACGCATACTGGTGCCGAACCTCTTCACGCACACAGGCTCCCCCAGAGCAGGAACCCAGTCCGCCCCTCCTGGGTCTCCCGCCGAACCTCCTGCCGAACCACCTGAACCTGCGGCAGAGTCAGCTTCGGGAGAGAGGCCCGTCAAAGCCGCCACCGCTGCCACGTCAGCACATGCCTGGTCCGTCGCCGCCCGCTCCGGAACACCAGCTAGGGAGGCTTCCTGAAAAGCGGCAACAATGCGGGAAATCTCCTCCCTTGCTGCCAAGACCTCGTCCTGAACGTCCCTATGATACCATCTCTTCCACAGCACCTCCCTCACATGCACAGGCTGCTCCTGCTGGCCCTGCTGTGTGGTGCTTCTGCTGGTGTAGTGCGCCTGAACGTCCTTCAACAGCCTCTCTGCTTGTTGCCTTGCCTCGGCTGCTTCTCTCGCGTCATCCACATTCCGCTGCCACTGATGCTTGAGAGATGCTAGTATTCCCACCTCCTCACCCTCTCCCTTCCTTCATACTCGTCCGCCTCACTCTCTCTCCCTTGACTTCTCTCCCCGAATGCGTTCCCCTCCTCTTCCTCCCTCCTCTCCTCCCTCTCCTCATCCGCACCTGCCTCTAGACTCGCAGCACGGGCCAGTCTGGTGGCTCTGGCGACGAGGGAAGGAGGCAGGCCACGGGAGGCAGCGAGGGAGAGGGCGTGGGAGGTGCCGGGGAGACCCCAGAGGATGTGGAAGGAGGGGCGCAGGGAGACCGGGTCGAATGCAACACTGGCATTCTCAAACCGGGAATCGGCCGCCTGACGGAAGGAGGGGACAGAGACAGGAGGGTGAAGGGAATAAGGGGGTGTTAGAAGACTGGTCAGACAGAGGAGAGCGTACCCTGAGCTTCTCAAGGTCAGCGTAGTAAGTGGTGGCGAGCGTGAGTAGTGTACGCTCTTCCGAGCCACTGCCCGCCTCGTCCAGAAGCACTAGCGTGGCGGAGGTGGCCGGAGAGGGGGAGGACGAGGAGGGGGAGGGGGAGGGGGAGGGGGAGGGGGAGCGGGAGGAGGGGGAGGATAAAGCAGGAGGCAGAGAGGAGGGGGGAGAGGTGGGAGAGGAAGGTGCAGAGGAAGAAGAGGGAGGGGAAGGGGAGGAGGGCGAGTGGGGATAGGAGGCGAGGAGGATACGGGAGACACGGCGCATGTGGGCGCTGAAGGTGGAGAGGCTCTCCTCCAACAACTGCTCATCTCCAATGTCCGCCACCATGCGGTCGAACCAAGGCACCACCCCCTCCCTCTGCTTGCTCTGCTCTCTCCCCTCGCCCCACTCCTTCTGCTCTCTCCTGTTCCTTCTGCCTCTATCTCTCTTCCCCTCTCTCCCCCGCTCTCTGCCGCCCCAGCCTGCTCTTCTCCTCCTCCCTGCCCCTCCACGTCCCCTGCGAGGGGCAGGAAAAGCCTTGCCTTGGCCATGAGCGCGGCAATCCCGAGGGTCTTGAGGGAGACGGCTGGGGTGATGCTGCTGCTGCTGCTGCTGCTGCTGCTGCTGCTGCTGCTGCTGCTGCTGCTGCTGCTGCTGCTGCTGCTGCTGCTGCTGCTGCTGCTACTGCTGCTGCTGCTGCTGCTTCTGCTGCTCCTCCTCCTGTTGCTGCTACTGCTTTGCTGTCTGCTGCTCCTGTGCTTTTACCCGTCCTGCTCTGAGCAGCAGCACTGAGGATGGCTCTCTGCAATGATTCGTCCAGCTGGTTGTCCCGCCTGGCGGCGCGGATGGCTGCCAGCTCAGCGCTTGCTGAGTCAGCAAGGGACTTGAGGCGCGGGTTGATGGCGGTGCGGATGCGGAGGAGGTGGGGACACGTGGCAGCAGAGGAGAGGAGGGAAATGAGAGGGGCGAGAGGCGAGGGGTTGCGGGATGAGGAGGAGGAGGAGGAGGAGGAGGAGGAGGAGGAGGAGGAGGAGGAGGAGGAGGAGGAGGAGGAGGATGAGGAGGAGGAGGAGGAGGAGGAGGAGGAGGAGGAGGAGGAGGAGGAGGAGGAGGAGGAGGGGAAGGAGGCGGAGGAGGAGGAAAAGGAGGGACGCAGAATGCCAGTTTCATCTGGAATCAGCCCGATGCAAGCACCTAGATCAATGCCTGACTGCAACAGCGATGCCACTGATAGGAGCTCCGAGGGAGTTATGGTCATGGGCGGGGCGGGTACAGCTGTGGCAACAGCAGCAGTGGCATCACTATCACTGCCAGAGGAAGCACCCTCGGAGATACCATCGACTCCATCACCAGCAGCAGCAGCAGCAGCAGCAGCAGCAGCACTGCGGTGGAGCCGAGAGAGCACCCCTCCCACGTCCACAGCACCGTTGAAGTCCAGCCGTCGCGGCAGCAGCAGCGCTGCCTCCGTCTTCAGCAGCAGCGCCTGACTCTCCTCCCACGTGCGCCCCACTGCCAGCCGCCCCTCCTCCGCCTCCCTGTACCCCATCACTGTGTCTGCGAATCGCGCCACCTGGCGGCACACGATTGGCCACTCCAGCAGGTCTTTTGGGAGCCACACAACCTTGGGAATGTCGGGAGCCATTCCCACCCTGCTTCCATTCCCAATCCTGATCTCACCAGACCCCGTCCCCACCCCTCCTCTCCCAACCCTGTCCTCACCAGACCCCACCCCGTCCCTTCTCCACTCTCCCTCCATCCCACCCACACCCGACTCTATCACATCCGTTAGAGTCACACCGCCTACGCTGTCCCCTCCTCCGCTTGTAGCAACACCACTCGCTCGAGCAGCAAGGCGACGCCTAACCCTGGCACAGCGCTCCGCAGTGTAGCGGCAGCAGGGAGATGCGAGGCTGTGGCAGGGCAACGGTCCGAGCGACCCAGAGAGTGGCTGTAAGGGGGCAGCGTAGAGAGGCCAAAGAGCGCATTTTCACAAGAGGCCCGTAACTGAAGCCCGAGAGGCAAGTGCCGGCAAAGGTGCTGATGATGGCAAGAGAGGGTGGTGCTGCAGCGACATAGCCATGGCAAGGTCGAGGCTGTGGCTGCCAGCTGTTTCGACGACGATGGTTCACTGCGAGGCGATCGTGATCAAATTTGAGCGAATGTGAGCAATTGAGCGACGAAGCGACTGTAAGAGACTGTGCGCGACTCAAACTACCGGCAGAAGCTGACGGCCGGCTGAGGAAACGCTAAAACGAGTCCCCAACAGTCACTTGACGATGGTCTGCGCGCCTCTGAGTGCGAGAAACGCCTGCGCGTGCGGGTGGGGGAGCGAGCGCGCGATGGCGAAGGCGGCGGGGTTGGCATAGCGCAGCTTGCTGTGCGGGTCCGTGTAGGGCGCCTCCAGCCCCGCCCCGTTCTATCGCGGTACTTGTTAGCGCCGTACATTGACGGCGGCGCCTCGATCGTCACGTCTGCACGCGCGCGGGGGAGGGAAGGGGGAAATGGGGAGAGACAATGAGCTGTCGTTCATTGGCTCATGGCAAGTAGAGACACATACGGTATTGACTGTGAAGTAATGATGAGAAAAACGACAAGTACAAATATAGCAACAAAGAACAGGTGGGGGGGTGGCAGGAAGGAAGGGGGGTTGGAGGAATAAGATCTCTAAGAGTACAGTATCCCTTCCCATTTCACTCCCAATACTCACTGAAACTAATGTGAATGCATGCCTCTAACCCATCCAGCACCACATCCAGCTTGCATGTATCCTGTAACACAACCCCCACTAACAAGGATGAACTAGGGCTGTTTTGGTTGCCCGAGGGAGAAAGAAAAGCCCCACATTCATGGGTGCTTGAGACAAAGCCCCACATTCATGGGTGCTTGAGACAAAGCCCCACATTCATGGGTGCTTGAGACAAAGCCCCACATTCATGGGTGCTTGAGACAAAGCCCCACATTCATGGGTGCTTGAGACAAAGCCCCACATTCATGGGTGCTTGAGACAAAGCCCCACATTCATGGGTGCTTGAGACAAAGCCCCACATTCATGGGTGCTTGAGACAAAGCCCCACATTCATGGGTGCTTGAGACAAAGCCCCACATTCATGGGTGCTTGAGACACCGGTGACCCGAGAGTGGCTCATGTGTCGCGATGCGATTGTGACGTTGTCCCCACAAGCTGTTGTGCCAAAGAGAGGAGCGAGACGAGGAAGAGCCTCGACAACAAGGTGATGGAACTTTGTGGGCCTTTCTCCACAGCATGCACCCTAAGAGCGACCATCAACCATGCGAAACAAAAACGGTCTGTTGTAGCCACCTGGATTGCGACGATGCTGCCATTTCTCAACGTGCCGCTGTGCACCTGTTGCCCCGCAACACTTGCCAATGCGCGCCTGCACACACAAACGTGCATGTATGCATGTTCATACTCGCACACATACATCCATGCACACAGACACGGACATGTGCAAGTGCTCACGTGCACACGCGCACGCGCACATACACACAGAGTGCATGCAACATCGTACCCTCAGCACCACCATACCCTCAGCACCACCATACCCTCAGCAACACCATACCTACGCCTTCTCTCCCTCATTTCTCCATATCAACACCCCTACTGTCCGCATCCCACGATGGCCCCCCTTTTCTCCCCACCCAGCAGGAAGGAGCAGTGCCGAGGGTGGCAGCAGTGGGAGGAGGCGGCGTGGCATCGAGATAGAAGGAGGGTGGGAGCAGGCGCAGGGGTACAAGGGAAGCATGGACGGTGGAGGAGGGGTGATGGGGACAGAGAAGGGGAAGGCAGGGGAGGGGTGATGGGAGTGAGTGAGAGCGATGCAAAAGGTTGTGCTGCTGTTGGTAGAGAAAGTGGCAATGAAGCAGAGGGGAATATGCCAGACGGAGAAGGAGCGGGAGAGCACGGGGCGAGGGAAGGGGGAACGCACGGGGCGAGGGAAGGGGGAACGCACGGGGCGAGGGAAGGGGGAACGCACGGGGCGAGGGAAGGGGGAACGCAGGGGGAAGAGGAAGCGAGGGAGGCCGCTGTAAGGGCGATGGAGGCGTTTCTTCTGAGGCCACAGCCTTACGAGGTGAGGACTCACCACACTCAAGGTCGTGTTGTTTCCATTACAGCCAGCATCTGCAACACAATGAGAACCACGCCAGCACCACCATACCCTCTGCACCACCATACCCTCTGCACCACCATACCCTCTGCACCACCATACCCTCTGCACCACCATACCCTCTGCACCACCATACTCTCTGCACCACCATACCCTCTGCACCACCATACCCTCTGCAGATTATGTCCGACCTATCAACCTTAACTCCCCTCTGCACCACCTCACTACCCTCTGCACCACCACACTACCCTCTGCACCACCACACTACCCTCTGCACCACCACACTACCCTCTGCACCACCACAGTACCCTCTGCACCACCACATTACCCTCTGCACCACCACAGTACCCTCTGCAGCACCACAGTACCCTCAGCACATCATGTCCGACCTCTCAACCTTACCTCCCCTCCCCCGCAACTCACTGTCTCTCAATCGCCCCATGCACCCGTCTACCACCTGGCCCGTGGTTATTCAGGTCGCCAAGGGGCTTTGTCTCGGCTCAGACTACGCACAAGGCGTCTCTGCTGCTCCCACTTCGCGTCAGGGATAATTCTCTGCTGCTCTCTTTCTGGTCTCGCTTCCTATCCACTCCCATCCCACTCTCTGGCCCACTCCAGACCCACAAACTCCACGCATTGCCTCACTGCTTCCTCCTCTTCCCAAAACCACCCCCCAGCAAGGAGCGGAATAGAGGGTTGCAGCAGTGGAGAAGCCAGCGAGCCAGCTGCCAAAATAGAGAGCGCCAGCTGGAGTGCTGCTCCCCTACGTTTCCTCTCTCTCACCCCTCCTTATCAACACCCTTACTGTCCGCTCCTGAAAGCAGCGTGCTAGCTGCCAAAAGGAAGGGGCGGTGAAGATGGGTGGCAGCAGCGGGTGAAACCAGCATGCTAGCTCCCAAAAAGGGAGAGGGTCGGCTACGGTGCGGACCCCTCGCCTCTCCTCTCCCTCACTCGTCCTTATCAACACCCTTACTATCCGCATCCCACCATGCCCTCCCGCTTCTCCCCACCCAGCAGCCAGGAGCGGTGCCGAGGGTGGCAGCAGTGGGAGGTGGCGGCGTGGCATTGAGCTCACAGGAGGGTGGGAGCAGACGCAAGGGTACATGAAAAGAATGGACAGTGGAGGAGGGGAGTTGGGGGCGGGGAAGAGGGGGGGCAGGGGAGTTGTGATGGGATTGAGTGAGAGCGATGCACGGGGTTGTGCTGGTGTTGGTAAAGGGGGTGGCAGTGGGGCAGAGGGGAATATGTCAGACGGAGAAGGAGTGGGTGGGCAAGGGGCGAGGGAGGGGGGGAATGCAGGGGAAGAGCAAGCGAGGGAGGACGCTGCACGGGTGACGGAAAGGTTTCTGAGACCACCGTCTCCTGAGGCTGCATCCGATGCTGTCACGAGGTGCGCTCTCACCATCACAAGGTGCACTCTCACCATCACGAGGTGTGCTCTCACCATCACGATGTGCACTCTCACCATCACGAGGTGTGCTCTCACCATCACGATGTGCACTCTCACCATCACGAGGTGTGCTCTCAAGGAACACCACTTATTGGTGGTGGTAGACATTGCGTGGCTGCAGAATCGGAGTTGTTAGCAGTTTGTTAAAAGAAACAGGCTTGTAAAAACCTGTGTTTGTGTGTAGAAAAAACTTCTTGTGAAAAATAATCCGTGGTAACTAGTTTCGGCGTAGAAGCCTTCGTCAGACCACAAGAAAGCAAATGAGACCTCGAGGCTTATATAATGCCCTCGAGGGGATCCCGCTTCTATTGAGCTCGCAGGGAAACCCAAGTCTCAACAAAAAATTCTACAGTAACAGAATACACTACGCTAGCACTTACGAGCAGAAACTAAAAAGCTTCCAACCCTTTTTGGCAATTTCCATGCCAGAATAGCTCGCCTCCCTGTAAACACATCGCGTGACATTGTATCCAGGTGTGTTTTGAGTCGACTCAAAAAGGACCCCAGGCGCGAACGATCAACCAACAGGTTGAGCAGACATTTCATCACCAGGGGGCCGCGACTTGAGGAGTTGCGAAGAGAATCGGCGCGTAGTAGAAGTTCAGAACGTTCAGAGAAACTGACACTCTTGAAAATGGGGAGAAGAAACCGTTCGGGGTAACCGCGAACACGAAGTCTTACGAAAAATAAGGCGCGGGAGTTGAAAAAATCTTCACGCGAGGAGGATCGCAGAAGGAATCTTCTCAGTTCGCTACGAATGAAGCTCACTTTAGTGCTCCTGGTATGGTAGGAGTTGAACGGTAAATAGAGATACCGGTTCATCGGCTTCTGGAAAAGCTTGCAATCCAAGATACCCTTTTCTTGAAAACGTTTACCCGTAAAGAAAGTAACGTCCAGAAAGTCCATGGAATGAACTGAAATGTTCCAGGTCAGTTTAATGGATGGATGGAGACGGCACCACTCAGGTCACACGTCCACTGGACCCCACCCCACTCTCCCTGTATGCTCCAGGCTTCTCCCCTTGTGCCCATCCCCTGCCCGTTCGTTCCCATTGGTGCGTTGGTGAACCTGATTGGCTTGCTAGGGTGAGCGTTGATTGGGTGCCAGCACGGATGGCCGCCCGGGATAAGCAGCAGCAGACACCGCGCATTGCATGGTGTATGGGTGGAAATGAAAAGGGATGCTGGAAGGGAAACAGCATGGCAGCATGTGAGGTGACAATGCAGCAGGGCGCATGGGGCAGTGGTGGCGTTGGTGATGCTGGCGATGACGCACATCGTGCACAGCCAGCCTGGGCGAATCGCGGCACACTGTGAGGAGGAAAACCCTACTTGTGCGTGGGCTTGCACGGCAGCTGACTTGACTCACAGCTGCTTTGCTGACGTATGGCTGCTGCAACCCCACCCTGAGAGCAAGCAGCCCTGCAGCGGCGGCACCTTGAGCCTGCCTGCTGCAATCCACCTTGAGGGGAAGATTCCCTACAGTGGCGCTACCTTGGGGAAGGACGCAGCCGTGCAGAGGCATGGCTGCTGTGGCGTTACCTTGGGGAAGGAGCCCTGCATGTGGGAGCACACTGTGGGCATCAAGGTCATTTGCCCTTGAATCGACAGCCCTACTGCACAGGGAGTGCTGTACCCGCTCGTGCTGCTCCTCCCTCGCCGCCCGCCGCTGCTCCTCGCTCTGCCTGCCCACCCGCACACGGTGAGGTGTCACTACAATCGGAATGATTGTGCGGGTCATATGAAACCCTATACAGGTCAGCGCACGCATTCCATCTCACTTGAAGGAGTGTCCAGCGCTGGCTCAACTTAGTATCTAGATTTTTAGTAGGTGCCGGGCAGGAGAACGTGCCAGTCGCGTCATCTGGCACAACCTATAGTTTGTACTATACGCCTTCGAATCTTGTGGAGTCTCATCGTCGACTTGACATTGGCTTACCCGACGTTGCGGCATCTTAGCGAGCACCTGATTCGTCACTAATATACTGCCTGACGTGGCTTGGATTACTGCGAGAAGAGGCTCGGGGCGCGGAGTTTATCGTGGCTTAGCCCGCCCTGGAAGGCATCGTCACGCGATAGGCGCGTCAACCGTGTGTCTAACCGTCTGCGGCTAACGGGATAAATATGGCCTCAAAATATGTGCATTTCATCAAACAGAGCATGCAAGGCGAGCTGCTGCGATGCCGCCTGTATCTTACCTTTTTGCCTGTGAATGGTGCCTCGAGCACTTCACGCAACGCACAGCGCTGGTAGCTCACAAGCTGCATAGTCACGAATGCCGTAGGCAACGCAGGCGGTACCTTCGGTTCCTCCGTGCCAACCCCTTCGCTGACATCAATGACTATTTTGCCGAGGCATCTCTGACTGCCGAAGACGAGCCGACATCCGATGCTGAAGATGAAGGAGACATGGAAGAGGTGAGCCCATTCATGTGTAATGTTGCTGTATAGGTTGGGCTTTCACTGCACGCATGTGAGTAGCAGACTTAACCAAGTCCGGCCTTTATTCCGTTTCCGTGCAGGGCTCTGAAGGCCAACCCCCCGGCGGTGCAGGCACCAACGAGGAAGTGCAGTCGGAGGATGGGTCTGACTGGGAGAGCGACTTCGACGACGGTGATTCAACTGAGAGCGATGATGACGACAGCGCCGTCGACGAGAACGATTTCAACACAGCCTTAGAGTTCTTCCGCTTCGTCATCGGATGCAATGGCGGCCAAGGACTCAGCGACGAGGCCACGGTCTGGCTTTTCAAGCTCCTGCGCGACCCCCGCCTGGATCTGGAGGCTATTCGCCGCTGGCGAACCAAACACGCCGTCCTTCAGTACGGACTTCGCCTCATGATGGCGAGGCGGGTGTACAGGCAGGTGGAAGTGCGCATCCCAGGGATCGACCACACATTCGAGCTGATGTGTACCAGCCCTATCGAGGTACGATTTGCAATCAGAGTTTGCACTTGCCTCTGTCCACCCTTCCTTCAGTCAACACTTGCCTCTGTCAACACTTGCCTCTGTCCGCCCTTGCCTCTGTCCGCCCTTGCCTCTGTCCGCCCTTGCCTCTGTCCGCCCTTGCCTCTGTCCGCCCTTGCCTCTGTCCGCCCTTGCCTCATTTCGCCCTTGCCTCATTTCGCCCTTGCCTCATTTCGCCCTTGCCTCATTTCGCCCTTGCCTCATTTCGCCCTTGCCTCATTTCGCCCTTGCCTCATTTCGCCCTTGCCTCATTTCGCCCTTGCCTCATTTCGCCCTTGCCTATGTCCTCCCTTGACACTGTCCGCACTTGCTCCGGCACAGGGAGTCGTGGAGATATTCGGCCACCGTGACAATGCAGATGGCTTCCAGCTGTTTGCCCGTCCGGTACACTCGGTGGCGGGACGCGTGTACACAAGGCCGGAGACTGGTCTTCTGTGGGAAGCCGCACAGGTACGGGACTGTGTTTCTGGGTTGTACCCCCTTTGTAACTAGTTTATGGCGTTTCTCATCTGGGTTTCTCCAAATGGGGCCGGCCACAAATCACAATCCTGTTTCCCACGTTGCTCAGTTATTGTGGTGATCTGGAACGAAGCTGCCCTTGTTGTGTTTGTTGTTGGCAGAACGCCCTGGACGAGATCTATGGCCCGGGCCAGGTGGTGGCCCCCATCATACTTTCAAGTGATGCTATGATTCTCAGCGGGAACGAGCGCGTGAAAGTTTGGGCGGTTTACCTAAGCATCGCCAACATCCACCTCCGTCTCCGTTGGGGTGATTCGGGGAAGATTCTGCTTGCACTACTCCCAATGCCTGTCCATGGAATGACGGCCGAGCAGAAGGTGCAGCTCTTTCAAGCTGCGATGCAGGTGGTCCTCGCTGACCTGATTGCCGCATCACACACGTGAGTGCCAGCAGCCATTGGCCCAGCCAAAGCCGCAGTCCGCCCTTCACTCAGTGTTTTTCTATTGCCTTAACACGCCCTTGGCTCTTTCCGTCATTGCGTCAATGTGCCCTTGGCTCTGCCCCCCTGGCATCTTTCTGCCTTTGCCTCTCTTCGTCGTTGCCTCAATACTCCCTTGCTACAGGGGGATTGCGGCCCGCGATCCATGGGGGGTGGACCGGGTCATATGGCCTCTGCTCTTCTCGTACGTAGCAGACTTCCCAGAAACCTGCAAGGTTTCGTGCACTCAACAGCATGGCAGTCATATGCCATGCTCCCTGTGCTACGTGGATAGGGGGCAGCTCAGGAACATGACGGCAGCTGCGTCGGAGTCGCGCTCTGTGGACCAGCAATCGTCACTGATTGCCAATCCTCGGCTGGCCAGGACGTACTCCACGCTCTGTGTCGCGGTATGTATCGGCTCTAAGTTGGAGGTTTGCGCCTGTCGTGGCCTGGTTGTTCAGCCCATGCGGTAGGCACCGTGTTTACGTCGTTTTTGCTCTGTGCATGCAGTCGTTCCTCTGGGAGTGGAACTTCTCCCGTACACTTTGGGGGAACACCTACCTCTCCCAGATGCCAGACATCCTACACATCATCTACCTCGGGTTCTGGCTGTACCTTCGCGCTGCACTGCGTGGCCCTGATTCCCGCGCCACCACCTTAGACAGGTACGTTTCCCCCTAGGCATTTGCTAGGCGGGTGTCCAGCTCGACTGTCCGCACTTGCCTTTGTCCGTCCTTACTCTGTCCGCCCTTGCCACTGTCCGCCCTTGCCTCTGTCCGCCCTTGCCACTGTCCGCCCTTGCCTCTGTCCGCCCTTGTCTCTGTCCGCCCTTTGCCTCTGTCCGCCCTTGCCTCTGTCCGCCCTTGCCTCTGTCCGCCCTTGCCTCTGTCCGCCCTTGCCTCTGTCCGCCCCTTGCCTCTTCCCGCCCTTGCCCTGTGTGTACTTGCTCTGTCCGCCCTTGCCTCTGTCCGCCCCTTGCCTCTTCCCGCCCTTGCCCTGTGGGTACTTGCCTCTGTCCGCCCTTTGCCTCTGCCCGCCCCTTGCCTCTTCCCGCCCTTGCCCTGTGGGTACTTGCTCTGTGCGCCCTTGCCTCTGTCCGCCCTTGTCAATACGCATTTGCCTAATGTGATGCAACCTCACGAGGTCAAACCCACTGCGATTGGTGCCCAAGATGTCTCCGGCATCGTTTCACTATTGCTTGCTTTCGTTGCTATCAACATTCTTCATATGGTGCAGGCGTCAGAATGCACTACACCCAGGCGCCAGGCAGGCGGGACTGCTAACTCCTGGAGACGCGAGCTACTGGGTCTCTGGTGCCAACTTCACCGCGTCGGAGCATGCCGCTGTCATGATGGTGCGCCCCTACCTTCTAGTTTATGCTCTCGTACGAGTGCCCAATGGACGTGATGGTTGTCAGATGGCATTTGCTGACTACGCGCTTCCTGTGTGGCAGATTGTACCATTCGTGCTGGAGGGGGAAGTTGCGGTCATTTGTAGCCGCACGATTGTCGCCTTTCTGGACTGGCACGAGACTTTCGTGCGGGCTGCGGAGCACACGGATGAGAGTCTGAGTGCATTCGACACTGCCACTCGCAGGTATGCTGTGTGTGAGCTTGTCCACAAGCGCTGCAGTTGCCGCCAGCGTTATGCGGGAGTCTAGTCTAATGCTTGACACTTATTCTCTTTGTTTCCATGCTTTCAGGATGGTGCAGTTGGTGGAAAGCACCTTTCCACGCGAGCACTCTGGGTGGAACCTTGTGAAGGTGCACCTGCTGCTTCACCTTACTGAGGCGATTCGAAGGGGGGGCCTGCCACGAGAGTACTCCGCAGCGGTGTACGAGAACGCACACATCCGCACCTGCAAGAGGCCGTACCGACAGTCCAACCATCGGGACGTGGGGCGTGTGATTGCGCAGCACAACACCAACGCTGCTCTACTGACCCGTATCCCAACCAACCTCGAGGGCAACCGCCAGTACAACACCGCGATGCGCCGGGTAAGGACGCATGTAAGGATCCCTAATGTGTGGTGTAATTATGCATGTCGGGTCATTACGCCATTGCCCTTTGCCTCTGTCCCCCCTTGCCTCTGTCCCCCCTTGCCTCTGTCCGCCCCTTGCCTCTGTCCGCCCTTGCCTCTGTCCGCCCTTTGCCTCTGCCCGCCCTTGCCTCTGTCCGCCCTTTGCCTCTGTCCGGCCTTGCCGCTCTGAGCGGTATGACTGAGGGGTGGTGATAGTTTAAAGGCTTGTGGGCTGAAAGACGTTGTCTGGCCCCATCCGCCTGTTTGGCGGGTGCTGAGTTGCAGACCATGTGTTCATTTGCCCCCCCACACCCACATGTCATCACACTGCAGGCAATCGCCAGTGGGCTGCCTCAGCTGTGCCGCCAGCGATCCAGGATGCACAGCGCGATCACGGACAGGGAGCAGGCTCCCCTGGACCTGTACGCGACGTTCGATGCCGCAATCCCGGGAGGCATTGGGCCATACGCCTACTTGACGCGCCTCTTTGGCTACGTCTCTTTTCCGGCGTGGGTAAGTACTGGGTTCTGCTGCCCCCATGACAACACCATGCTCGCTCTCCTTTTCCACCATGTTTTTTAACGTACTACCACCCTGCCACGTCTCCTGCCCCCTTACCCCTCTCGTGCCATCAGGTCCACACGGCGCTGGCTCTACCAGCCCGCGGGACGGACCACGGCCTGATCAGGCCACACTATGTCCGCGCCAACCCCTCTCACCACGGTGCTGCCACATTCTCGTTCATTGAGTACGAGGATGGGACTGGGGAGACCGTGGTCGGCCGCGTGCACCTGCTCCTGACGCTGATGATGAACAGCGAGGATGCACACCCCGCGGGAGAGGCCGTGGCCTTCGTGAGGCAGTGGTACCCCTACCTGGAGGACGAGTGCACTGGCTGCATGAGGATGCGGCCATCTGATGACGAGCTGAGCTACAACCTTGTGCCGGTCGCCTCCGTGCAGAGGACCGTGCACATGGTGGAGTCGTTTGTGACGCCTGGCCTCTGGTATCTTAACAGGTGGGCTGGCCGATGCCGCGAGGAGTTGCCCTAAGGCCGCCCAGGAATGTGCAGTGAATCAAGGTTCTTCTTTTGTGCTGGAATGATTGTCACCAAGCCATCTCTATGGTTTGGTTGCTACTAGGAAAGTGGAGATGCGTGTCGGTACTTGCCTCTGAAATCTATTTCTTTCCAATTGGGTGTTATCGTAGCTTGGAGGGGTCCCTTGTGTGGCTAGTAGTTGTTGTGTGCCTTTTTTTTATAATATTTTATTCTGATGGACGTGAAGTTTTTTGTTGAATCACAGGCACAACAATATGTTCTTAACTCTTATCGGATGCTACAGTTTTGAGATGTTAACACGGAAGCTTGCAGAGCGTATACCAACCCCAGCTGGAGACACAATGTGAAAGGGGTTGCATTGGTAGTAGCTAGCGTGACAGTGCGCAGGCAATGCCTGGGCCGGAAAAATTGCTTCGGGAGTGCACACAGCTTTCGAAGCCATGCCCCAGCGCGCATGGCTGATGGATACGCCGGATGTTGACAGGTTTTGGGCGTCCCGTTTTTTATGAGGCTGCTGCTCGCGCCACCCCCCACTTTCGTTGTAGTTCCGCAATTACCGCTACCGCCACCTCTCGTACCATTATTAGCACTCGTAGTGTTGGTAGCGCTGCTTGTTCCCCGCGCCGCACTCCCCTCCTTGTAATGCGAGTGCAATGGCGTGCCGGACATTCCGCTCCGGAATTGCGACTCCGCCTGCACGATCCGATTTTGCAGCCATCCCGCGAGCTCGGCGCGCAACGAACGGGTTCGAGCATACGAAAGAATTAACGCTACGGTCGGTCGATAACGAAGCTTGTTGGGAGTTGACGAGTACCGGGAGGCAGTTCTCGAACTAAATCGCTAGGGGATGGGCCTGACATGGCGAGACATGTTACGAATCTCCACAATCAGACATTGCGTGAATGAGATTCTCCACAGGAGGTACATGCTCGTGAAGGGACGGAGGAAGCCATTATAGATGTTATCGTTTATAGTTCGACGGATCTCGCCGCACGCTGTGGCCAAACCTTCGAATCCCAGGCAAAACGCGATACTTTTAGTCCCGTTCAGGAGAATTGCATGAAGAATAGTTGCTTTGCTACTAGTTTCTGGAGTTTTGCATTTACGTAGATTTGGACCGCGCTTGCTTCAACTTCCAGTCGCCCGGTTTTCCACGCCGATCAATGACGCATGACTAACGGTAAAAAAAAAAAACAAAATTAAATATGGTTTGGGGGTCGAATAGTAACCCAAAAACTTAATTTAGACCCAGTAAGCGAGATAAGCGAGATGTCATCGTCGATCGCGCTGGAGACAGCGCGACCGGATTGAGAAGTATTCGCGGTCAAGAGAAACAATTAATTACAATTTAAAAGTTAAAATATCGAATCGATGATCCCTTCTTCATTGTTTTCCATGAATGTTGGGCTGGTTTGATCTGGAGCCTCCGATTGGCTGCGGAACTGATTCGTGCAATGATTCGGTCAAGCGGCCGAATTTCCCGCCAAAAACGGGACTATAGGGGTCGGGCCAGGCCTAGGCGATATCGAAAAAATCTACTCAGGGGGGAAAAGGGACTCTCTCAGCGAGGGCCTCTAACCCGGAACATTTGTATCCTTTTCCTGGTGAAGGATGTCATTTTGGGTAGGCTGCGAAAAATGATAATGGGTTCCTGTATCGAGTCATACGTGTGTACCACAAACAAAGCTTGTTACGAAGAGCACCGCGAAAGTTGGGCGAACAGCCGATGATGATATTTGCGAATTGTCTCGTATCACTAAAAGACGAATGTGACCATAATGTTGGACTGTCGGTCAGTCGTGACACACGATAACAAAACATTATCTGGTGCGCTGCGTTCCAAAACAGTAACCGTCATTGACCTGAACGACGCTGTATGTGCATCAGAGTCCTAGGGTGGGGGGATGGTGGGTGGGAACGCATGCGGGAAACATTGTCGGTTCAGGGTTGCCTTTGAAAGACTTTGGTAACAAGCGTTGAAAACATTTCATAACGTTTATAAACGATTTATCACGGTATAAAGGGAATTTCAATTCTTGAACAGCGTGGACTTGAGATGTCTGCCACCCTGACGGATCTGCTCTGCGAACTTTGTTTCCATTTCGCGCCACGCGCCACGACGCACCAACGTGCACCTTTTAATTGCTGTGTTGGCCACCTCTTGCTAGACTCCTGAAACAATGGGTCCACTCCGACCACATTGTTCCTAGAAATATTGGTGTCACCACGACAAGTTGTGATGTCGCCAATTATCGTTGGATTACGTGCCTCGGAAAGTGGGTAGGCAACAACAGTTCGATGTGACCCAAGTTGAGCTTGCCTCTAATACTGTACGGTAGTAATTCGACGTGGGCCAGCGGCGTTCCCTCCGTGAGTGCCGTAACTCGTTCATTGCTAAGAAATTCCTTCCCATCCACCGTCTCTTTCATACTATATTCTTGCCACTGTGGTGTGACATTAGTAGTCAGAAAACACCCCTCGGACCGCACAGCAGAATAGCGTGTGCAACTCAATCTGATCTTGCCCCCTAAGCGATTCAAGCAGCAATTCCCCTTGGTTCTGGCAGCGTTTTTAAACGGACGGTCCCGCCATGAGCTTGTCGTAACTTATTTTTTTCTTTCAACCAACAAAGCCTAACGATGGTGGCTGCGCGTTTCCTTTCGACTACATTGGCACTGGTAGTGCTGATGGCGCTCCATATGAGAGCCACGTCAGCGATCAGCTTCTTAAGCACTGAGGCCGGAAAAGTGCAATTGTCGCTTAACTGCGACTGGGTCGGCAACGACATTGGCCAAGCCGCCGGCAAGAACGACACGTGCGGGAAGCTGTGCCTCAGCCGCGCGGATTGCACGCACTTCACGTGGACGGCCGAAAACGGCGGCACGTGCCGGCTCAAGGGGGCAATGAACGCCACTGAACTGGTCCCCACCACTGGCACGTCGTGCGGTTACCGCGTCCGCGACAACGGCGCGATCGGCAACCCGTACAGGGGAGTTCAGCAGTACCTAAACCCGGAGTACGCGGCGAGCGTGAAAGCCGCGATGCTCGCGTCTCCCAAAGATGCGTCTGTTTTCGCGAGCGTGGCGCAGTATCCGACGGCCGTGTGGCTCGACAAGATGGCGAAGCTAAACACCATCCAAGGTCATCTGGACAACGCTGCGGCTCAGGCGGTGGGGGGAAAGCCGATTCTCGTGCAATTCGTGATATACGACCTCCCGGGCCGCGACTGCCATGCGTATTCGTCTAATGGGGAGATTCCCAAGGGCGGCCTCGCCACTTACAAGGCCAAGTACATCGACGTCGCCGTGGCGCGCCTTAAAAACAAGACGGCGAACGTGCGCCTATCGCTCGTGATCGAGCCCGACTCGCTGCCGAACCTCGCGACGAACTTGGGGTCAGCTCAGTGCGACGCGACGACGGAGAAGGAGTACACGGAGGGCGTCGCTTACGCTATCGCGAAGCTCTCGCAGATTCCTGGCACGTCGCTGTATGTCGACTCGGGGGGCGGCGGGTGGCTCGGTGAGTGCGTATGCCGCGCGCGGTTCGTTCCGTTCCATTTTTTAGGCGCCTCAGAAATAGATTCCGTTCCATGCAAATCTGTTTCCTTCCTATCCTTCCTCCCCTTTCAGCCGTGGCCCTACTTCCACCGTTTCGCTTCGCACTCCCCCTCACCCCACCCCACCCCTCAACCCTTACCTGCTCGCCTCTCAACGCTTGAACAGGCTGGCCGAATAATATGAAGGCCGTCGTGACGGTGTACAAGAAAGTCCTCGTGCGCGCGCAGAAGATCCGCGCAGGCGCCAAGATCCGCGGCTTCGCGTCCAACGTGGCCAACTACAGCCCGCTCTTTTCCTACCGCTGCCCGGCGGCGGAGAGATGCCCGCTCACGAAGCACCCAGGCACGGGCGAGATGAATTACGACTGGAACCCGTGCATCGACGAGAACCGTTTCACCGCACGGATGAATGCGTACCTGGGAGCCTTGGGATTGCCGACCAGGTGGATCGTGGATACGAGCCGGTCCGGCCGCGCTGGCATTCGCAAGCGCTGGGGGTCGTGGTGCAACGTGAAGGGCGCGGGGATCGGACAGCGCCCCCGCGCGAATCCCGGCAGTGCTCCGCAACGTGAGCACTTCACATCACGCGCATCCTTGCTGTTTCTTTTCGCCTCTTTTTTGTCTTTTTTGGCAAATCTGTTTTGAAAAAGTCGATTCCTCCAGTAGTCACATGCCGCCGTTCCTTTTCCACACACCTTGCTTGCCCGACAGTTGATGCTTTGGCTTGGATCAAGCCACCTGGGGAGAGCGATGGCCATTCGTAAGTAAAAATGCAGGACAAACAGCTCGTTTCAATTTGTTCTTAATACTGCACTGTCGCTCTAATTGATCCTAAACATGCGGAGTGATCCTACCATGTACCTAATATAGTGTCTTTCTTCTCTTTCTGTGAGTTAATCATCATATCATCTGGGCTATTCTTCCTTGCACCTTCACTCATCTCATCTCCCTTCTCTGCCATGGCTATGCTTCGCTTTACCCTTCACTCATCTCGCTTCCTACCTCCCCCCGATGCATCCAATCCAGAAAAAAAATTGGTATTTCCCTGGTGGATCGCGAATGCGACCCCCTCGACCAGCTGGGCGCGGAAGCCTTATCTGGCGCGCCCCGCGCTGGCAAGTGGTTCCAGGCGCAATTCGCCATGCTGGTTCGGAACGCCAACCCGCCCATGCCTGCTGCAACCATGACATGATCAATAAGGGGCCGAAGAGTTGAAGGATGAGTTACCAGAGGCCAAGTGATTCGGACCTCTACGTTGTAGGCTGGGAGCTGCCCAGGCGGCAACGAAAGGAGTTCATAACACAGTCTCGTGATTTTCTTACTCAATTTAATTGGCCCTAAATGGTGTGTGCCACCTCCCCTATCGACTTTGCTTTGCTGGCCCACAAAGCTTGCCTCTCCCTCTCCATCCCTTTTCCTCTTCTCTTTCCTTCCCTTTTCAAGTTTTTCCACGTCTCTTCTTCCCCCATATCTGCATATCCTCGTAGCTATGAAACTATTTTATATTTTACCGTATGTGTTGTACTTTCCTTTTATTCTGTGAGTGCCCATGAAAACATTGATGTCATCTTGCATGGCCATGGGTTTCCTAGTAGGTAATAAAACGTGTATGGCAGGCAGCTGGCTCCTCATCCTCATCATGCATATGGTGTTGAGTGACGCTGGACACGACAGCAGTGAAATTGTTGGCTTATATGCTGTAAAATGGAGTACACCTGATGCGCGTTATAATCCCCCGTCCTCCCCTTGTGCTCTGGGCTTATAAGCGCACATGTCATTTCGGGCACTTCGTGGCTTTCGCCACGGCCCAGAGGTGCTCTTAAAAGGCAAGGGTTGTTACCCGCTTGTCTTTTCTCTAAACAGTGTGGGGTGGCCTAGTTTGGTGTGCATTCAATGGATCTGTTACCACAATTTTCACCCATTACATTAACACCCCATTACATTTCACGTCCCGCACTGTCACAAACAACACATTCATCCCTCCACCCAATACTGCTGCTCCACCTGTACCCAACCCAAATACCCACTCGTACTGTCCCATTCTTGCGAATGTGTACAAGGCGTACACCTGATGCATTAGTGAGGAACCAAATTTCTCTAAGGGGGACAGAATCCCCTCTCACGACGCACGCACAGCCGGGAGGAGGAGGAGATGTGCACTCTGTCAGAATGAGGAATGATGTTTTCATTGATGTTGGTTGGGGTACATATGACAAACCCTAACTTCTGTACCCCCTAAGACAAACCTCACTACAGGCTACAACATTTGACACACCCCCATAGCCTAAGTGAGGGGTGTCTAGCAAAATCAAAAAGAGTACGGTCACAAGACCAGTCCAAAAGAAAACAAAGCTCAGGGTGGATCACAACGTCACCACACACTCTGAGCACAAGCAACAGTGGCCACAAGGCCAGTCCAAGAGATCACAAGTATATATAGCAAGTGTACAGACGAAGCAGGCAATAAACTCAAGTCTACACATGACTAGAACCTGTGTCAACAAGGCCTAACTGCACACAACACCTCTGGTGGTCACAAGGCGGAAGCGCCTTGGTGAAGATGTCTGCAGTGTTGGCCTCGGACTCCACAAACTCGAAGCGAGCCTGTCCACGTCTCTGCAACTCTCGCAGAAGAAAGTACCTGACGTGAATGTGCTTCACTCTGCTCTCCAGTCGCGGCTCACGACAGAGGAGGATCGACGCCTTGTTGTCAGTAAACAAGGTCGGTGCAGAGCTCGGCCGCTCACCAAGGTCGGCGAGCAAGAAGGTCAACCACCGCAACTCCTGTGCCGCCATGGCACCAGCGTAAATCTCAGCCTCAGCTGTAGAGGTCGAGACAGAAGAGGAGCGCGTGGAACGCCAGGAAACAGCTCCAGAACCCAGACTGAAACAGTACCCCTGAGTAGACCTGTGAGTCTCAGCGTCGTCAGCGTAAGAGGAGTCACAGTGACCAGTGAGTACGACAGACTGCTGCCCTCCAAGAACTAGCCCCACGCCTGATGTAGTCGCTAGGTACTTCGCCACCCTCACAGCTGCCGTCCAGTGAACAGGACGGTGTCTCCCTGGCGCAACAAAGCGCGCAAGGATACTGAGAGGGAAGGCGAGGTCCGGGCGAGTACAAGTCATCAGGTACATGAGGCAACCCACAAGCTCTGCGTAGGGACCACTAGGCTCAAACGGCTCGTCAGGAAAGGGACCAGTGAGTCTGTGGTCAACAGCGAGAGGTGTGCGCTGTACGGTGGAGTGCTGAAGCCCGAACCGCTGAAGGACCTGCTGCACCATGTGTGACTGTGAGAGTGTAATGGTGCGAGCGGCTCTGTCCCTGGTGATCTGCAGGCCAAGGTAGTGGCGCAGCTCACCAAGATCAGTGCACGTGTGTCTCTTCTGCAGTTCGGACTTCACGTCTGCCAAAGCAACCCTGTCCGGAGTGGCGAAAACGAGGTCGTCGACGTAGACCAGAACAAAGAACGGTGTGGAGCCACGACGAACGAACAGCGACGGGTCGGCAGAAGACGGCTGGAACCCAAGGTCAGAGAGGGTAGAACGCAGAGTGTCGTGCCACTCGCGAGGGGCCTGGCGAAGACCGTAAACAGGTCGCCTCAGCCTCCACTGGGTCCCAGGAGGGAAAGTGCCAGTGAAGGCCGAGGGACGACGCAACCAGACCTCCTCGTGTAGGCTGCCCTGAAGGAAAGCAGTGGAGAAGTCGAGAGAGTGTAACTCGTAGTCTCTCTGTGCTGCTACGTGTAGTAACACCCGAAGAGTGGTCATCTTCGGGGTAGGTGCGAAGGTCTGAAAGAAGTCAACTCCCTCGCGCTGACTGAAACCTCTAGCCACGTAGCGCGCCTTGAAGACCGGGGGAGATCCCGGTGGCCGCTTCACCCTGTAGATCCACATGCCGTCGACTACGTTCGCCCCAGGGGGGGGAACCTCATCGACGTAGGTGCCTGTGGATCTGTAGGAGGCCATCTCTGCGTCCATGGCAGCTCTCCACTGAGAGGCCCAAGGCCCTGACACTGCCTCAGCGTAAGTGCGAGGAGTCGGAATGTCAAGGGCGTCGGGGTCACCCTCAGGGGCGAGGAGCATGGCACAGAGATGAGGGGAAGCGGCCGCCAGGAACTCTAGCTCAAACTGCCTGTCCTCTAGGGCGTCACAGCCAAGGGCAGACACACCCCCGACGGCCAGAGGACTGGTAGGAGGAGCAGCCACAAGCGTGGTGGCGTAGTCAAGGCGGCGGGTAGCGGCAAAGTCAGTAACCGCGGCAGTAAGAGCAGACACAGAGGACACAGAGGCACGAGGGTGAGTAACAAGAGAGGCGAGAACACGAGAGAGAACAGGACGGTACGTGCGGTAGTAGTCAGTGACAGGAGCAGGGAGCGACACGGTGAGGGCCGACTCAGGAGGAGACGGAAGCACAGACTGAGACGGACGAGGTGGACTGTAACAAAGTAAGGCAGTACGAAGGTCAGTGAAGGGAACAGGAGACGAGGGACGAGCACGAGGGGAGCGACGAGTAGCCCAAGAACGAGACGGAGGAGGAGAGGACAAAGGCGGAGAACTAGAGAAAACAGCGGGGGAGGAGTCAGGCGGAGGAAACGTGGGACCGTAGACAGGAGGAGAGGCGGAGGAGGGAGGAGAAGGGGAGGGGAGACCAAGGGCCCGAAGACCCGAGACAGGAGGAGGAAGTGGCTGCTGCTGCTGCTGCTGCGTCTGCTGCTGCTGCGGACGCGGCTGCTGCTGGGACTGCTGCTCATGCGGGTCCAGCTGCTGCTGCTGGCTCCGCCAGCCGCTGTAACTCCCTCTCCTCTCTCTCCAACTCCAGCTGCTCGTCACGCGCACGGCGAACACGAGCCTGGTGCCTAGTCGGGTAGGGGTGGGGGGGCGGAGTAGTGTCCGAAGCAGCGGCAGCTCCAGAGTCAACCCCCGAAGAACCAGGCGCACCACCCCCAGAGGCAGCACTAACACCAGCTCCAGACCCAGGCGCACCAGAACCCGAAGCAGGCGCACCCTCACCCCCGGAGGGAGCACCCCCAGAGTCCGCGCGGCCAGCACCGGCTCCCGGACGACAAGAGTCCTCTGCACCCACCGGGTCAGCTCCAACTCCAGAACCAGAAACTCCAGCTCCAACTCCAGCACCCCCAGAACCAGAAACTCCAGTGCCTACTCCAGCTCCACCTCCAGCTCCAACACCAGCTCCAACTCCAGCACCCCCAGAACCAGAAACCGGTACAGGAACAGGCGCAGCACCAACCTCTCGAGAGCTAGCACCAGCGGCACGCTGCGAGGAGGACTGTGGGGAGGGAGGCTGTACCGGAGGGGCTACCGAAGGAGGAGGGGTAGCCTGGGACACACCTGACGGGGCTGGGCCAGGGGGGGGAGGCTGTACCGGGGGAGCAGGAGGGGGAGCGGCAGTCAGGAAGAGGGGGGGAGGAGGAACCGGGAGACCTCGACTGGGGTACCTGACGTAGTACGGAGTGGACTCCTCGAAACGGACGTCACGGGAGTCAAAGAACCGGTGAGAGGGAGGGTGGTAAAAGGTGAAGTCAGAGGAGTCCTCAGGGAAACCAAGGAAGACACAGGGGACGGCACGAGGCGAGAGCTTGTCCGCGGAGGTGTCGCGGACAAGAGCCAAGCACCCCCGGACAAGAGCTCTGATACCATGTCAGAATGAGGAATGATGTTTTCATTGATGTTGGTTGGGGTACATATGACAAACCCTAACTTCTGTACCCCCTAAGACAAACCTCACTACAGGCTACAACATTTGACACACTCCTCCTAAATGGTGATGACGGGGCTTCACAGCCGCATCCACTCAGCGGCAGCCAAGTAGCCTGACATCACAGCGGGTGCCCCGGCATCAATGAGCTCCTGCCGACGAGCAGACTGGGCCACCCAGTCAGGGGTCGGCACCGTTACCCACGCCGGCAGCACGCGACCACGGCGACGTGGAGTCTCTGCCGTCGGGTTGTCCTCGTGCGACATGGCGGTTGGCATAGACGCGTTAAGGTTGAGAGCAGGGCTTGCGCGCTCCATCCACGCGATGATGATCGGGTTACGAATGTCAAACAGTGCGCACATGTCCCGCGGCGTGATGCATGTCGCGCGCGCGTAGCCAATGAGCATTTCGCACGCGGCCCGAGCGGTGCGACGTGCTTCGCGCGTCGCAGGGTTGCTGTCGTCGTAGACCACCTGCATCGACGCAGGCGCCTCCCACATCTCCGCCGTCGGCTCCGATCGCGGCTCGATCGCCAACGGATCCTCACTGGGCTCGGCGCACGTCGGCTGGTTGGCATCGATGGCGACAAACTCCTGAGCGGGCATCGCGCTGGGCCCGAGTCCGAGCCGGTCAATCAGGCTACCGACGTCGTTGACGTCATCATCCAGGCCGATGTCACCTCCGGCAGTGGGGCTGCCGCCAACTCCTGGCTCCACGTGCGGGAGTTCCATCGCCCAGGCGTGCGGGAGACAACCGGTGCGCCACCAGCAACGCTGGATGGTGCTACGCGGGATATTCATCCACGCGTCGTGGAGCCACTCCAGCACTAGACGGAGGTTCGGCTTGAACCTAGCCTGCCGCGGAGGTGGCGCCTTCGGCAGTCCACATGCCCGTGAAGGCGCGGAGCCAATGCTGGCGGTACCGCCGCCTTCGCCATGGCAATGAGCCCCTGGTCAAGGGGCTGAATGAAGCAGGTGGTGTTAGGAGGCATGAACACCAGGCGCACGTTCTTGAGCGCACGCGTACGGAACCCGAAGAGATCTTCGGTCACGACGCCGTCGGTAGTCCAGATTGTGGCTGCTGGCGTTGTCGAGCAGGACAACAATGTTGCGGTCCTCTGCGTTCATGGTAGCGTCGAGTTGTTCGATGTAGTGCGTGAATAGCTGTCAAGCAAGCAGACGGGTTGACACAAAAGTCAAGGGTGAGAGGGGTGAGTTAGAGGGCCGGTAATGTGGTATGTTTGGCGGCGGTACAAAAAACAGTGGCAACACAACGGATGCACTCATACTCACCGAGGAAGTCATCCAACCTTTGGCGGTGTTGCACCAGTAGCATAACTCCTCTGGATTATAGTCCGGCCGGAAATCGTGGGGCCGTTTTGCTTGGAGATGACGAGCGGACGGAAGGCATGCGAGCCCTCCGCGTTCACCAGGAATCCGACGGTTAGTCGTTCCTTCGGCGCCTTCCGCCCCGCCGACCTGCCGGTGCCGTATGTTTTGCGCGGCAGAACGGAGATGAAAAGCGCCGTCTCGTCGAAGTTGAACGTATCACGCGGGCGTACGCCGAGTTGCATGAGAAGTTGCGGGAGCTTCCGTGAGCGGTTGCGGACGGCGTCATGTCCTGGTCTGTCGCTTCGCCGACAGCGCTCATGCACCTACACCCTCGGCGGCGCAAAGCACGCCGCACCCATCCAATAGAGCAGCGAAACGTCGCTGGCACACCATTCACACGTGCCATGGTAGGAGCGATATGGTCGCGAGATTGTGGCCAATGTCATTGGAACGCCAACAGGACCCGCATGCAATCCAACGTGCCATTGCGCGCCTCCAGGTCGGGTACGCGCCGCCACGCACACGAATAGCGTCAACAGCTCGTCCGGGATGCGCCATCGTTCGGCGCCATTCAACACCGGCCGATGGTGGATCGGTCGGGGCGTACCCCAAAGCGCGTGAAACACCAACGCGCGAGATCCACATGGCGGAGCAGCGTGGCGAGCAACCAGTGGGCGCAGATGGCCCTTTTGATGTGCAGCGCAA